GCCTTTAGCTTAGGCTTGTTCCCAACTAGCTCTTATAACTCAAATTAACCTGTTTCTATTCATCTATGTTCTTCCATGTGACTCTTGACCTCTCCTCCATGCTCTATGTCCCACTCCATCAGTGTCTGGCTGGCGTCTCTTGCATGCCTAGATTCTAACCCTGAGTTCCTCTCTCTACCCGGAAGTCCCACCTAAATTCTCCTGCCTAGCTATTGGCTGTTCAGCTTTTTATTAAACCAATCACAAGGGCACATCTTCACACAGTGTACAAATACTCCTTAACCTAAGGCTTCACCCTCTGTCTCTGCCTGCCTTTCCTTTTTGTCTTTATTTCATAGTTTCATATCGTCTTGTGCCATGTTGCAATATGCCTGCTAAATCTTTATCTTTTTAAATCATTTATGCGTGTGCGCGTGTGCACACACACATGCACTATCACAGATTTGTAGAACTCAAAGGACAGTTTATGTGAGTCAGTTCTCTCCTACCCTGTGTGGAGTTCAGAGATGGGAATCAGCTCTTTAGGTTTATGTGGCAAGTACCTTTACACAGGCATCTCACTGGCCAGCCACTCTTTGTTTTAATGGGACTTCTCTTTAGTTAATTGTGGACCTGTAGCATTTTTGTTTTCATTTTGTACCAGTAGTATCAATAATGTTTCTCCTTTAGAATTCTCAGCTGCTCTGAGGAACGTACATTGTGTCTCTTCGTCTGGATCAACAGCAGTAGTAGACTGTTAGCGCTGCCTTTCTAGATAGCTGTTGACCTGCCTAATCACAGCCTAGTGAACGCCTTTAGGTCATTTGCTTTCATAGTGGTTAGGAGAACACAATCTTTGGAGTGAAATTGTTTGGGTTCCCACCTCTCTCAAGCACTGATTTTGATCAACCTACTCCCTCTAAGTCCTTGTTTCTCTCTCTGAAAAATAAAAAGAAGTCGACTCTAGGGTTGACGGTACCCTTATTCCAAGGGCTGTGATAAGATGGTAGCACTGTTGAGGACGGTGTCTGCACAGAGTGAGTGCATGTGATTGGACTGTTCTCTCCTGCCCTCCAGTTCCCAAATAACTACTCAGAGGCTTAATGTCATTTATAAAAGTTTGGCCAGTTGCTCAGGCTTATTACTAACTAGCTCTTCACTTAAATTAGCTCATAATTCTCATCTGTGTTTAGCCATGTGGCTTGGTACCTTTTCTCAGTACGACATTCTCATCTTGCTGACTCCTCGACTTCGCCCTTCTCCTTCCCAGCATTCTGTATGGCTTTCCTGCTTAACTTCCTGCCCAGCTACCGGTCTGTCAGCTTTTTATTAATATGTCCCTTGTCTTTGCCGAGTAAAGAAGCAGTTTTTTTTGTATTCAAGACACTATTGTTGGGGAAGACTGTATTTCAGACTTAACTCTGCTATGCTGGATGACCTTGAACAAATAGTTACTTTCAATCAGGTTCCATGGCACATGGCTATAACTCCAGCACTTGGGGAGGCAGAGACAGGAGGATTGACATGAGTTCAAAGTCAGCCTGGTTTACATAGTGAGTTCCAGACCAGCCAGGACACCGTAACTAGACCCCAACTCAAAACCAACAACAGAAGTATTGGTGAGAATGTGGAGGATTTCAAAGGAGAAGAAGTACTTTGTGAAATAGTTGCAGTTCTTCAAAAGCTTAACTGTAGCCATCATGTGGCCCTAAAATTCTACATTTAGTACCTGCTTATCCAAGAGAAATGAAGATATATGTCTACACCAAACAAAGCATGTGCAAAAATGTCCATATTATCATTGTTCATAGTTGAAAGATCTCAGGTGGGAGTTTAAGGGGATGCTAGGATGGATTTGCTGGAGGTAAGAAGTTGATTAGAAGAGTTGTTGACGCCATGGAGAGACAGACCGATAACAGCATGGTGGGGGGGGGGGCGTCTGAGGAGAGAAAATTAGGATCCACCTGGCAAAAGTGACCCTCTGAGAATGGCATTGGTTTCATGGCACCAGCCTGCAGTCAGGCTCTCTGATTCCTGGGCAGGAGGAAGGGAAGAAGATGGGAAACAGGATGTGTGGTCACCGGTACTCTCTTTGTTACTGACTCACCCACGGTGAGGTGCTCAGGCACTTGAAAGCCTGTTAGCTAGAGATTCACGATGTCTTAGTAGGGAGTCTGTCAGTATCTGAGAGGGGAATGGATACTGCAGATTCTGTGGTCTCAGCAGCAGCTAGATGCTAGCACTACTACCAAAATGAGAGAATCTAAGTGCTCATCAACTGCAAAGTGAAAAAACTAGGTGTGGTGTATCTACGCAGTGGAGTAGTATTTGGTCATCAAAAGGAACGGAGCATGTCTAATAATGGGCACAGAGTGGTTTTGGAGATAAGGAAGTATTCTAAATTTAGATTGTGAGGGTGGCTGCAAAGCCCTGAACTCACTAAGAACCACTGAACTATTAAAGAGTAAAACCACATTTCATGGCATATAAAAACAGCCAGGTGTCATGCTGTGTATGCCTTTAATCCCAGCACTTGGGAGGCAGAGGCAGGTGGAGCTCTGTGAGTTCGAGGCCAGCCTGGGCTGGAAAGTGAGAACCTGCCTCAAACAATAGCAGCAACCCAAAATCCCTAAACAACAGCAAAAACTTCCCACGGGATCTAGAGTATGTACTGTCTTTGATTCATGTGAAGTAAAGGGATTGTAGAAAGGCTGCGTAACCTGCTTGAAAACCCCTGATTTGGAGTTTTTAATTACAGTTTGTTTCTGCTAACAAATTGGTACATCATTCACAGAAGCTAAATGATGTCCACAGAAGATGTTGGGAGGAGAGTAATAAGCCATGGGAATCTGTATTAATTCCCTTTGGAAATTCTTATGTGTGTATGTATGTGTGAAGGAGTGTTAAACAGGTATCTGTGCGTGCGCACGTACACAGAGAGGTCAAGGGTCATTGTCAGGTGGATTCCTCTATTGTTATCCACCTTACTTTTTTTTTCATAGGAGCTCTTCCTGAATCTGGAGCTCACCGCTCCAGCTAGAGGAGTGGTTGCTGGCTTGTCCAGTTTTTCGTGTTGGCACTGGGCATCGGAACTCAGGCCCTTGTACTTGTGTGGCAGGCACATTACCATCTGAGCTGTCTCTCTAGCTCCCCGGAAGTTCTTCAGATTGTAGTTTATCGTTCTCTCGGTTTTTAATAAATGTTTGTCTTAAAGAAACGTGTTGGGGCCGGGCGGTGGTGGCGCACGCCTTTAATCCCAGCACTCGGGAGGCAGAGACAGGCGGATCTCTGTGAGTTCGAGGCCAGC